TGTTTTTGCAAAATAAATTGATGCAATTTGCTGTTATAGGCCTAATCAATAAATTCCTCTTCAACCGATATAACCTTAAACATTCTTGGAATTGATATAACATTACTGATGTCGTACACACCCTTCAGTGTGAAATGTGGCTCCCTTTGCAAGCAAATCTAACATCTAAGGAAAGAAGAGCTTAGATTGGTACCAGATAATAATTTTGTTATCAACATTAATGTTCATCTTTGTAAGCGCATAAGACAGTGCAAATTATTTCTGTGACAGTCTTTTGAAGTGTGTAAAGCTCCATTTTATCCCATACATAGTCAAAATATTGGGGGGGATGATTCAATGGACCATCCCCCCCTTGTCAAATATTGGGGGGGGTGGATATATCCCCTCCATCCCCGCCGGGATCTACGCCTATGCATGTATAGTGTTATTGCACAAAAGGTAAGTTAATCAATTAATGTAATTTGTTGCAACAACAAACGAGACTATAAAATAATATTTAAAACAAGGCAGTTGAGAACATTTTGTATTCGAGTGGTATTGTAATGCTGAGTATTAGGAATTCTTTAGAACACATGCTGATGATTACACATTCTTGTTTAATAGACCTTTGCACTTCTTTCTTATAAATTGTTCTTGATCATACTAATCCTTCTCGTTATTAAGTAGATATGAAAATACAAATTACCAGAAGGGTGAGGCACACAGGAGAAACAAACGCCCATATGGCACCTGATTCATTTTTCAACCAGCACCTAAAATTGATAATTCAAAAAGTGTTCATATGCTGCCAAAACAAATTCATGTTATTTGTGACGTTTTAACGCACTTTATCAGTGTTTTTCTCTCTCTTCAACGAGGAAACTAAATTGGTACATAATAATAAGAATGATTTAAAATATTTAGATTTTGTCTGTGAATTATTATCATTTTTAAACCTCTCATTGTCATCATCGATATTGTTGTTGTTATTACTTTAATAATTGTTTTACTATTAAGATTTTCATTGTGTTTGGCAATATTACTGCTTCTTGCTCTAAAAATCCCGGGTTGTATAATGAAGAGGAAGCTTTAAATATTTTAGTAAGTTATAACTTGCAAGCTCATAAAAATTATAACTCCATCCTGCAAGTAACGTCCTAAATGTCATTGGTCACTATGTCAGATGTAATAATTGGTTGAGTAATTCCCACTGTTGTAAAACTGAACCTACTGTTAGGATCGACTATTCATATGAAACTAAACAGAAAATGAATATATTTTTAATATGATTGTATCACAAAAAATGTCCAATTTAGAAACAAAAACCAATATTGACATCAACATATAGTTAGTTCAGTATCACCGCATTAAACAAGTAAAAATCTGAGATGCCTTGTCTAAAATTGTTGATCGTTTGGCACCAGACCATCCTACCACCATTGAGGCTAACATATAACGTTAAGTTTAACTTAAATCTAAACACATAAAACTTATATGTTTTGATATTCAGTGCTGTAACGTTAAATGTTTGCCAGTTTTCAAATGCATTTTCTTTTTTTATGTTGGACAAAAGAAATATGTCTGTATTCAGTATTCATTAATTTAGGATTTACAAATATAGTGCACTTAAAAATAATATTGGTAAATATATACAGAATCAATAAAAAAAATATATATATATATTATATATTAATAAACAAGTTGTAATTATAATACTCATTGTGTTTGGAAATGCTACTGCTTCTCACACTAAAGACCCTGAAGCGTTTGTAATAAAGTAAAAGAAAAGATATTTTGCTTTTGGTGAACTAATAAACAGAACAATAAACTTCATCGCTAAATGAGCAATTTATGTTTTACCAGAGATAAGTACTTAGTGCCACTTTTATATCGACTTCATTAAATTATTAAATAATTCTATTAAAATTTACAATCTGATATTAGGATTTACTTATCCGATGCGTAGTTTTGTCTTGTTATACAAACTGTCGTCCCGACAACAGTGACGGGTCCAATCCAACCAATGTATCGACAGTAGAAGAAGCGTCTCTCATGATCAGCAAATGGATATTTAATCTTTATGTAAACATCTGTTGACATTATCAACATCCACGAGAAAGCTGCTAATAGACTGTAGTGCAAACACCCGGCGAGAAGACTGCATGCAATCTGTAAAGAAAGTATTTCAGGTTTTGGTTAAATTTTGTTTTAACTTAAATGTTTTTGTGATTGTGTATGTAAAAAATGACAAAAACTAAGGGTAAATGGTGATGCCTATAAACTTGTCTTTTTTTCGGCCAACGTCGAACTCTACAATTTTTTTTTTTTTAGAAAATTCAAGCCAATTTCATGGGAATAACCTTTGTGACATTTTAAATATTTTAACAAAATACACTTTGGGGGCCTACTTAAAGTTTATGGTTGAAAGCAGAATTAAATAGACAGTTTTTGAAGAGGGATGGTTGGAATTTTCTTACAAATATCTTTTATTAAAATAAATTCAACTCACTGAGTTCTTTACATCAACCTCCAGTAGAAAAAAGAACAAATTGGCAAGTAGTAGAGCGATGACCAAATGGCGCAAAATTCTGTACCGTTCCGAGTTCCTCAAATTCCTGAAAAAAAAATACACTGTTGTTTGTAATGTTTCAGCAAGCCATTTTTAGACATTTTCCTTATTAAAGGACAACAAACTGCCCTATTGGAATGGAAATGACAGGGAATGAAATGGCAACCGTTTGTTTGAATCATTATATTCGTTATCATTATTACGCTCATTATTATTTATTTGATTCTTATTCTACGTCAACTTACTCCAAACAGCAGATTATAACAAGTGTGGTGACAAGAAAAACATTCGAAATTGAAACTCCAACGATCGTAATCACAGACAAAGTCTTGTTATTTATCTGTAGTAAAATATGGAATTACTTTATAAAAAATCAGCTCGCCAAGTCTAAGGCCCTATCTAGACAATCAACATTTTTCAACAAAAACATATAACATGCCCAAAGAAAAGCTTATAGACGTGTCGCCAGAGCTTTAGACAAAGAGAGCAATGTAGAAGCTCATATTGTTACCACGTACATCAATATGTCTAAAGATTGTTTAAAGTTTAATTTAAACATGTTTTCCATTTATTCTCACCTGCTTGGGTTTCATCAGAATTACAAATGACGTCATATGAGTGCATATACACGTCACTCCGCTAAACATATAGTCGTTTGCATAGTCTGTCACACAACCATCCGTTGACCACAAACTTGAAAATAAGCGGTGGTGTACAACGTACACAGGTTTTATATAAAATTTAAAGTTCAATAGACGCATTACACAATGTGTATTTATACTTATATAATTCATATTTATATACGTCATCAACGAGGCAGATAGTTGTATAATTATTGTTTTTCAGGAGAGATTTCACAGAATAACATTATACTGGCATATAACATTTATTTTACTATTATTTTATCATAGTTATGATTTTTAATTTGATATATTACCATTTAAATTTTAACTTACGCTAAAGTGATATTTATAATTATCGTGTTTTTAATAACATGCTGTTATGAGATTCACGTTTGTATTATTTTACCATAAATATGAATTTTGATTTAGTTTATCATTTATTAGTTTTGCTGACATATGATAGTATTGAACTTACGTTGATGTGTCATTAATATCGTGTTTGTAGTGACAAGCTGGGATGAGATTCACGTTCGAAATATTTTTTGTAGTTACATCCTTGGTAAAAAGAAAAGAAATACAAATTTCAAATCACAGTATTCTGATTAAATTTGAAATACAGCTCATATCCATCCGAATAGATAGGACAAGGGTATTTTTTTTGTATATTTTTCTAGCTATACGTGTTTGAATGAACATATTAAAGATAACGAAAATGGTGGTTTTGTCTTGTTAAAATGTAGTTAGAAACATGTTTATTATTTTAAAAAGAAATTTAATTTTACAATCGATGAATAAAACTGCAATTAATTCGCTATATTAAAAAATTTACCAAACACTCATGCCTGGTTTTCACGAGATCCCTAGTATCCGGATCGGGAGCTAACCGTTAGCGCTAACCGTTAGCACCTGCGTGAGAACGCCCGATCGGTTAGAGCTAACCGTTAGCGGTATCCAGATACCGCTAACGGTTAGCAAGCGCTATCGGTTAGCAAGTTGAGCGCGTTTTTATCATCAACCAGTCACACATACGCATTTACAATTTCCAGTTTCTTATTGGCCAGTGATTCGATCATCATATTTTTGGTATCGGGATCGGGATTTTCTCGCATGGACGCATGGCAGCTAACGGTTAGCAGAACCCGGATCCTGCTAACCGTTAGCAGCCCTGTGAGAACATAGCCTCTAAAATTATTATACAACTTTGTTAGTTTTGTGCACTACGAAACTGAAAAATGTTAAGAGCAGTTGGCTGTAAAAGTCAAAGAAATTAAAAAAATAGTTACAGACTAAAAAAAAAATAGATTTCTTCCAAATTGTGGACATAGCTATATCTTTGTTAAGAGAAATCAAATATGAAGTTATATTTACTTTATGCTTATATTTCCATGGCAACGGGTAAATTTGTATTTTTGGCAATTTTTGTCATTTTTGGCTGTTTTAAATGTTAATATTAGTAATAATTTGATACAATATTTCTGATATCCTTATGGTTTATTCATCAAAAATAATGAGTGTGTGTATAAGTTTAATACATTGGGTATGTGTTGCAAATTTTTAAATGTTTTTTGGATTTTGTAGTTGGGAGATACCATGCTTTTAAAAAGGGGTGCTTTTTTTTTTTTCAAATTATGAAAAACGTCCAAACTTTTGCTCATAAACCTCAAAGTGGTGCTCTTTTAAAACTATTTTTCTACAAATAGGTAGTTCTAATGCTCCCTTAAAGAATTCCAGTTTAAAAAAGTGGGTAATTAAAAAAAAGCAGTGTTGCCAGAAAAACAGGCATTTTTCATTACAAAATTATAATAGTAAAATTTACCAAATTCCTTTGATTACAACAATAATAAATGTTTTTCTATACTTTAAGTAATGTTGTAATAAAAAAAAATATTTTTGGTATAAATGTTGTCATTTTTCTGTTTTAGCGGTATTTTAAACCCTTTTAAGGTGGGTTTATAAAAATTTGACTTTATACATAAGCCTACCAATTTCTGTCATTGGTGTCACCAGTTTGACACGGCACCTTAACCTACATGGGAATGCCAGACTCTGAATAATGCCCTCTTCTCCCTAACCACATCATGCAACATCCTTACCCCTTCTTGTTGGGACAAGTCAGGAATTATCGTGAAAACATATAAACCTAATACGTGGTCGTGGTAGGGGTGGTGCCCGACAAGAAGCCTTATGTCCCAGATGGTGGTCTGATTGCAGCATTCAGAGAATCTCGAGCAGATTTTTTGGAAAATAAATATCTTGGCACATTTTTGTTGCATGGCGGTGTTTCAAACACAAGCCCAGAACAGCGATAATGAAAGATGTAGTTTTATGGCTAAAGAGTGTGCTTCCTAAGCTTACATCTGTATATTTTAAGACACAACAATGCTGGCTGCTACCACTGTACAACTACCAGTGGCGTAGAAAAATATTTTTCATTTGGGGGGGGGGGATGATTGGCGTGTTTGCCAGTGTCGTAACAGGCGCGGGGGCCCCTGACGGTTTATACCGGGCTGACCAAGCCGTCATACCGGGCTGGGTAATAAGAGAAAAGAAAGAGGGGAGAGGGAGAAAGAAGAGGAAAAGAAAAGGAAAGAAAAAGAGAAGAGAAAAATAAAGTCAAGAATAAAAAGGAAGATATCATAATGACCAGACTCACAACACCTGCAACCCCTTTTCCACTTCAAAAACTGTAATAACTCCTTTGATATATGCTGCCCGATGGCGTAACCACTGCGGGACAAGGGGAAAATATCTATCTTTGAAAAAACTTCCCCACCCCTTTATAAATGCCCTTTCATCCCCTGTGAGTGCCTAAAAACCTCAAATTTCGCGCGCATTTCTTGTTAACATGGCCCAATTTCCTCTAAAAATTGCACATTTTAGGGAGTTTTGATCAATTCCAACGAAATTAGAACTAAAAACACCATGGGACAAGGTAAAAATATCCATCTTTGGAAAATCTTTCCCCACCCCTTGATAAATGCATCCTCTGAAAGTGCCTAAAATTCTCAAATTCTTTGCGCGCA